GTATACTCGGCCCCAAAACCCTATTCTTCTTATTAAGGCCCCTACATTAGCGGTTTCCTGGAAGGGTGTGCTACTTAGGGCAGGCTCCTCCTGCAAGCTTGCTGGCAGATTTTTCTTGCTGCAGTGACTACTGCCAGCGAGGTGGGAGCAGCTATGAAACGTCATCTATGATATAGAGCGGCTAGTATTGAGATTGGGAAGATGATGCAGACTTCGGGCAGCGTGCAAAGGTCACACCTCAAAATAGTTGAATCAAGTGCACCGCATGAGAGAAAGCGGCAGCAAATCGCCGAGTTCTCACTGGAACCTGAACCCCAAACTCCAAACCCGTCTTACTCGGAAGAGCTGTGGCAAGCAGGTACACAGGACTCAGCAACCAAAAGCGAATTTTGCAAGGCCGCTTGGGGAAGGGATGAAGAACTCCAGGTTCCGGGTCCAAGTATGCTCAAGTTTTGGGGTCTACGGGTTCGTCCTTCAGGTGTGAGGAACCGACACAACTTGCCATATGCTGAGGATGCCCGTTTTGGTACGTGTTTTTGAGCTGGTCTTGCGCCTGTCCTGCTCCCTGCCAGATGCAAGATGTACGCACGGCGCCCCCCACATCAATGACATTCATTTACATTCTTGCTACAACTATATGCCGTGGGACGCCACGCATCCCGTAAATCGGACTCCCAAATGCTGCCACAAAAGCACACATCTTTGCACATGTGGGTTTTGGGCCTCTGGGCTGTCCCCTAAGGGAAGAACAACAACTTCTTGCACGGTCATCACGAGGGCCACGTTGGCGTCGCCCACTATGGTAAATGGGCAGCTCGTAGAGCAAGCTCGTGGCAGCTTCTTCATGTTACGTTAAGTCTGCATTGGACGCTCCTCTTGTGCCGCTTTTGCGATATCAAGACAGTAGAACACTCACCTCCTGATCTCCCTACAGAATGATGTGTCGTTGCTAAGGTCACCTCAAAGGACCGAAGAAAGTTCGACTTGAACTGGCTGGTTCTCTGCGGTACGAATAAGGTTGGGCAACTGACCTGTCTGTTCTTCCTTGCGGGCATTGCCGCCGGAGCATTTAGGGTTCAAAAGGTATGTCACTGTGATGGTTCCCGCTGAAAGAAGGACTCGCTGAGAACTGCACACTGTCTGCAGTCCTAAGCCGGAGCCTTCGGGAAGATTTTCGGTGCAAGTCCCGCCCAGATACAGTGAACTAGGGGACTCGAGTGCAGACAGCGGCAGTTTCATGAAATCCTGCTTGAAAGCCCATTTAAGCCGTCTAACCACACATGTCCTAGACCGTTTAGGGTTTAGGGTTTACTATAAGGGCCTAAATAATTTCCTATACTCTTTTGGGGGGATATACCCCAAAACCCTATTAAAATTATCGAGGCCCCTACATTAAACCCTTATACTACCCTTTTAATACCCCTTATGGCACCCTTGTTACTTAAAACCCTAAACCCTGAACTCGTTCAGCCACGCAGGAGGAAAAAAAAACCTAAACCCTAAACCCTAAACCCTTAACCCTAAACCCTAAACCCTTAAAGAAACCTGTAAAAGAACCCTAGGGTGAGCCAGGCCAAGCGAGTTTATGACGGAAGCGCAGGCATCGCCACGAAGAACTGCCACACGGCAGAAAGCCAAGTGGCTTTAGGGTTTAGGGTTTAGGGTTTTTCGGTGTGTTCGCTGGCACACAATCCAAGCCCATGCTGAAAAAGGGTTTTTCGGATTCCGGCGTCAGGGGTTCTACGGACCAAGGGTTTTTAGAGCTTGGGGTTTAGGATTCAGGGTTTGGGGTTTAAGGCGTTGTGGCTCGAGCGCCGCTGGGTGAAACGTCTCCGACACTAGTTGTGGATCCTAGGCGTATTCCCAACCCCAGCCTGGCCATACGACTGCCGTCTGCACTGGAGCAGCGGCTGCCACTAGGAGTGGCTTGGGGAGCAACCCCACGCATTTTCTGGCCTCCACCCTAGCTGCCTTGGAATACTTTTGATCTACGCTGGCCGCGGTGGCCCTGACAAGGCACCCCGTCGGGCAGCGAGCCCGAGCTGGCACAGGCGACAACGCAAAGCGCGCTTTTTAGCGCGACAAAGAAGCAGGAAGGGAACCCGAGCCCCGTTTCCTTCGAGCCCATCACGGCAGCATGGCCCCAAAGACAGCAGTGGGTGGTCATGCCAAAGGCGGGGTGGGCAAGGGAAAGACCAAGCAGGAAAACTCCGGTCATCGAATTCGGGCTCATTTCTTCTATGGTGATCTCCGTGCAATCCATATCGTCGAAAGCTACGCAGGATTTGTGGGGGTCTACAGCTTTTCACGCCGACGACCATACCGCCGAACAACTTGCGCAGCGACGGACAAATGCCATGTCCAGGCTTGCCAAACGAATTGCAAGCGACATGAAGGCGAAAGGAGCTGGCTGCTTCCTTGACTGCTTGGTTCAGGCAGATAGGACAGCATCTGGTGGGCTTGGTTGGAAGGGTCAGGGCCATCAATTCCAAGGTCGACGAAGACCTTGTTGCAATTGAAGAGATGCAGAATTACCATGCGGAACAACCCTCGACAGCCACAGCGGAGCAAGTGGCCCAGGCGACGCATCACGTGGGCCCTATTTGGTCTTCAGTCCAGGAGCCAGGAGCAGGAGGCCATCCGCCTGGCAGCCGAGGTCCGCTCTTTCGGGACGGTGATGCCACGCATATTGCAGCCTGCAAGAGCTGGTGTCGTCGACACATCTTGGACGGTGGGGACGGCCTCCGACTCAGGCTCCATGCGTGTACTTCCAGCTGCGGTATCCCGCTTGGTTGGTTACGGCTTGCCTGGTGTGGCTGCTGGCTCCATCGCCCAGACTGGACCAAGGCGCTCAATCATGGCTCTCCAGCGGAAAGCGGCGACTGGTTTACGGCGTGGAGCCTTTGCTGCCGAACATGGCCGAGAGTTGGTTGGAGACCTGGCGCATTGTGCAGAATAAGATGCCATGTTTCCTTTGGCATGGGACCCTCAGCTGGAAGCAGCCAGCTTGGCCGCTGCCGCCAGTGCCTGGGCTGCTGGACAAGAGGTCTGCCAGGCAGGTTCGCGGGAGGCCATGCCGGGCCGGCCCTTCAGGATGTTCTACAGCGCATAAGGCTCTGCCCGGCAGCCCAACCCAGGGCACACCAGGGATTGTTATACTCATGATTCACATGACGTTTGGCCATGTCCTCGATCCGTACAGCTTTGCCCCGGCCACCGCCCAAGAATCGCTTTATCCTTCCCTACTAGTGGAGCATGGCGGTCCATTCAAGGGTTCATACCTACGGTGGCTTCAGTGGAGGCGCCAGTGCAAACTCTGCTGTAGGCTGGCTTGACTCCCAGGTCCGCTTCCTTGTGCTGGGACCCCTGGCTTTAGGGTTGCTTTGGCTAGGCGGGGCCTACTGTAAAGGCTACCGAGGTGCTCATGCTGTAAGATGCCGCCCATCCGCGTCTCGCTGCAAGCAATGCCGTGGTGTTACTGATTTGGTTGTTTTGCACAACTCTGCACATGGCGTTCAGATTTGGCAGCATGGTTTGGCACATGGCAGGCCTGTGTATGCGACAAGTAGTGTCCTAACACCTCTGATGCTCGCAGGTTACACCCCGTGCAGCACCCTGACGTTCCTGTTGTGCTTGGCGAAGGCGGGTATGAACCACGATGTCTGCGAGATGTGGGTGTGTTCCTTGCCGGTTCCTCCCGCCGCCCTCATGTATTCCATGTGGATG